TTATTTCCTGCTTCTATGATGTCACCACAGGTCTAGGTGACTCTTCGGGCAGCTATTTTCCTTGTGTTGTTTGGCATTCCGTTGTCAATGCGGCAGAGGAAGAGGAGCACTAAGAATTGAGTTCTGGCTCTTATTTGCTTTTATCAGGAAGTAACACACATTCCCTCCATTCACATTTCGTTGATCTGAAATCCGAACTAGTTTATGGCCACAACTAATTTCAGGAAGGTGGAGAAGGCAACTGGATATTGGTGAACATTAGTAATGATCACCACCTAGAGCTTTTACTGTAAATGAAAGCAGAAGGAGCTAAAAACAGTTTATGTTATAGACACGTATATGGTACTTGTTACATGCTGGATATTATTTTAATGGCTTTCAAGTAGAAACTCTTTTAACACTCATAACAGGCTACTAAGTAGATCATTTTTATCCCCATTCTACAGAAGGGGAAATCGTTACATTACTTACTTGAGGTCATACAGCTAGCATGGGGCAAGGTTAAACTCCAGGAAGTCTGAGTCCTGAGTCTAAGCACTGAACCTCTATGCACTATTTTGCTTTTTATTCTGTTGCCTATTCTGCTTTTTCTCAAACTTAGATTGGGAGGGATGGAAAAGAGGAAAAGGAGGGAGGTTATAATTGAAGTGTGGGACTTTGCGCATGCAAAGGAATGGAGTAGTAATGTTTGGATCTTTCAGTGCTAAAGCTTTTCAGTGCTAAAGCAGGGCTCTGAGGGGAAGTAGAGAGTGACACTTGGGAAATGGGTTTAAGAGCAGAAAATGGTTGGGACTGATTCTCTTGCTAATGATACCAACTCTGGAGGCCAAGATGGAGGGCAGCCTCTGGCCCTGTTTTTTCTTCTTTGCCTCGTTTCCTCCATCAGAGCTCCTGACCCGCAGATTGACCTTATACCTATGCTATGGTTATCTCAGAAACAAAACTTCGAGATGGGGAGAAATATCATTCCCCTAGAGAGTAGCAGGTAAGCTATTTTTCACATAAGGAGTCCAACATCAAGTCAGACTGGACCTATTTCTAATGCATTTCTGAGAGTTCACATAGAATTACACTATTGTCAAATAAACTGCATTTAAAAATTCTTCAAAGAAGGGTGCTTGATGAAAGAATCCTTCAGTGAACCAGTAGTAATTACAAACCACCACTCCTAATATATCAGATTTCTAATGTTCACCTTTATGTTGGTTGCTGTTAAACTGGAATGCACCTGCAGTTCAGCTAACATCCATTCATTTCAGAGCTGTGACTTGGGCATCAGCGACCACTTCTGGGCATCAGAACTCTTGGTTCTCACAGATAGCACCACTATAATGACAACGCCTCAAGAAAGAAGAAAGGAACAAATGATCCTGCTTCAAAATGGAATCTTTGCATGAAACAAACTAGAAGAAGTCCTTTGTGTGACATTGAAGCTTCTTTATTCCTATCTCTCTCACCTGTTAAATCCTGCAATTTGATTACAACATATAGACTGTGTCTGCAAAACACTTTTAAAATGCTGTATTGGCACCTTGCTGACATCTGCCAGCACGTTCCTTAGGGCTAGTCAGTCTGTACGGTGCCACTCTATTTTCCTTAACTCTATTTTGATTTGGAGCTGTTGCAAATTGTTGCCAGGGGTTTCTCTTCTCTCCAGAGCTGCAAAATCAGTGGTGCAACAGAGATCACTGGATGTTGCTTATCGTTACCAGTACTTACCCAACAGCAGATTATTTTCTATCAGCCACATCTATTATTTAGAAGGAGCTCTTGCTACAGGGTTAGAAGATTTGATTTCTAGGCTCAGTGCAGCCTCTAAAGCACTGTACCATCTTGGGCTAGGCACCCCGCGTCTCTGAGTCTTGGTTTCTTCCTGGGTAAAATGGAAATTTAAACTAGAAGATTAAGAGAAGTGTGGAAACCAAAGGTTTAAGACTTTATAACTACCATTTTTTTTACAATGATTAAAATAACCCCAAAGTTATAATGCTATACAGTTAAGGACAAAGAAGAAGAGAGAAATGTCATTTTAATTAAATCTGCAGATGGAAATAAATGGGAAGTTCTACCAGTAATTGTGTGACTGCTTCTTAATGGAGTCCAAAAGAGTTTCCTCTTTGGGAAGTGTGAGCTAATACACCCACAGAGGAGTGATTAGGAACACAGGATATTTATACTAGATGGGAAATGCTGGGAAACAGAGATTTTATATCAATACCCAGAGGCGAGATGTGGGCAGCTGATGATGTGCAAAAGAACATATAGATCTGAAGTATTTCCTGTTAATGATGATGATGGATTTATCATATCATGTTAGAAGTCTAGGATAGCAATACATGAAATATATATATATATATATATATATACACATGTTATATATAAAATATAAAAAATTATATATATATGATTAGTCTGTCTGTTACCACCTCAATCTGTGAATGTCTCATTAGTCTAGGACCATGGTGTGTCTGTACATTAGGTTAGTCCCCACAAACAGAAGTTATATAAGACCCATGGGGGAGGGAGGAAGCCAGTCATGTGTGTTTAAGAACGCCTTTCCACTTCTGCTGCTTACACACACCCCCTGCAACTGCAGTGAGGAAGCTGTAACCTCAGCAGCATCTCTGACTCCTGCCGGTGGCAGGCAGATTAGAAGGATCCAATGTGTGCCCGAGTCTCTTGTTATTTAACTAAATACACCCCCATGTATTTAGAAGACGTTCTAGCTGTAGGGGAATTAACTTGCACCACCAGCAGTACTTGAGTAGAAAGCTAAAATAGCCTAGTTTTATTCCACAGTCTCTTGATTTTTTGCAGAAGGAATCCTAGCAGAGCAAACTGCTCTCTTTGTCTTGCGTCAACCCTCTGGGTTTGCTCAGCCACCCCCAGCACTGGGCAAATGGGTGGAAATTTGAGAGAAGAGAGGCAAGAAGTGACCCTAGGCTATAACCTGGATCCTGGTTGTGTATTTATACGTCTCTCTCGGTCACAGGCAATGGCCTCCCCCGCCCCGCCCCCGTGCTCTTGGAGAGAGAGTGATCGAAAGTCGAGGCCAGTCGTTGGTAATCTAGGGGTTTCTAAGCAAAGTCAGACACCTTCCCTCTTTCCTCCCTGCCCAAGGCAGGAGCTGAGCAGAAGTTTCCGCGGACCCCAACCTGAGGATTCCTGCTGCTTCACAGCAACTTAGCCTTGACCATTTCTAAGGGGGTTGGTTACTACGACCCCAGCGAAAGGGGACACCCCCATACCACTGTCCTTCGCCTTGACTTCTGACTGTGCTGCAGCGCACACTTTCTGTCTTGGTCCTTGTCTCCGTTTAGCAGTCATTCCTGCTAAGGGGAGGACAGGCCCAGGGGAGCCGCCGGAGGGGAAGCCTTCGATCCGCGCTTCTGAGAACTTGAGCGAGAACGCATCACTTTTACCTGGAGGGCTTCTTTAAAACAGATTGCTGGCCCTCGCCCCGAGCGACCCTACTTACCTAGCTTTGGGGTAGAGCCCTACATTTTGCATTTCTAACAAGTTCCTAGGAGCTCCCGCCAGTCCGGGACCACTTTGAGAACCACCGCCTTGGATAAAAGAAGGCGCGGCGGCGTGAGCTTCCTCTCTCCCTTCCTTGCCTCCGCGCTCCGTCCGCGCTTCATGCCATCGTCCCTTCTCCGTGGCCCCTGTATTCTAAGGTCTCACTTCTGCCCCGGTTCTGAGCGGCTGGAGGGTTGTTAGATTCCGGCCCATCTGCCCCTCTCCCCGCCTCCCCCTCCCCGCCCCCCACCGCGCGCTGCTTTGTTCCCCCCGCTTTTACTGTCTTCTCCAGCGCGAAGGCTGCCGCTGCCGCTGCACGCCCTCTCTCCGGTGTGAATTATTCACCCTCTTCCCCTACTCCTTGCATCGAGCGCAACCTTCTCCGCAACTTAACCCGGGTGGCGGGGCTGGCGACTCACCCCCGCGCCCCGCGGCCCAGGGGGGCTCCGCCGCACGCCAGCTCCAGCCCCAGGCGCAGGGGCCCTCCCCGCGCCGGCCCTGCGCGCAGACCCTAGCTGGCCCCGGCTCCTGGGCGTGGGGCAGGGCGGGTGGCGCCAGCTCTCGTGTGGAGCTTCGGGCGCCCAAGCCCGGAGGGGGGCGGTAGCAGCGTCAGGTGGCTGCTCTGCGTCCCCGCGCGCCGCCCAGCCGGTCCCCGCTCGGCGCTCAGCCTCTGCTGGAGCGGGAGCCGACCGACACCTCCGCCCTGAAGCCGCGTCTCCGCGAGCAGCCGGGGCTCGGGACCCCGGCGGGAGGAGCTGAGATGTAACCCGGCCGACTGACTGCCCGCGGCTGCCTCCGGCATCCCGCTCGCTTCTCGCTTCCTCGCCCGCCCCGCGGCCCCAGTGGACGGCGAACGTTGGTCGGGATCTCCGGGGAGACCGGAGCGGCCACCGGGCGCACAGCCCCGGCTGAAGTTGGGCTCCGCCGGGCAGCCGCGATCCGGCCGCGCGGGAGGGGTGGGCGCCGGGGCAGGGGGGCGGAGGGCTCCGCGGAGGGGTCCGGAGCTGGGCTGAGAGGGACTGGCGGAGCGAGGGCTTGAGTTGACTCTTCCCGCCCCCCGGCCCCGGGGCGCGGGGCAGCGGGAGAAATGCTGAGTCCGCGCCCGGGCGAGCGGCGCCGCGGCAGCAGCCTCAGCAGCAGCATCAGCACCAGCACCGGCGGGACAGCGACAGCGGGGGCGGCGCAGGCGCACTGTGCCCCGCGGAGCCTGCAGTTCCCGAGCCCCGTGTGCGGCACCGCCACAGTCTGGGCAGCGGCGGCCGCGGGAGCGCTACTACCATGAACTGCCTGGTCCTCCTCCCCAGAGCTGCTCATCCGGGTCGGGCTGGAGACACAGTCAGGGGACCCCGTCGCCGCCGCCGCGCCCCCTCTTCTTTCGGCTCGATCTTCTTCTCCACCTTTTCCTCCTCTTCCTCCACCTTCTCTTCCTGCATCCCCCCCTCCCCCGCCGCGGATCCTGGCCGCCGCTCTCCAGACCCAGGATGCCGGGGGGCAAGAGAGGGCTGGTGGCACCGCAGAACACGTTTTTGGAGAACATCGTCAGGCGCTCCAGTGGTAAGAAGAGTTGCAGTTCAGAACACCCCCACCTCCATCCTGCCCACGCGCGCCCCCCGTCCTCCCCATCCCATCCCTCTCCTAAGGGGGAGAGGGATGCAGACAGCCCTACCTGGTGGCTTCAGTTACGAGTTGGCCCCGATGTGGGGCGGGGAGCAGAATAAGGTGGTGGAGGAAAGTTAGTTGCATCCCCTCTCCAAGACATACTCACCTCCCTCCCACCTGTCCAGAGCCCAGAACGGGAGGAAGGGAAGGCAGAGCTGGTAGGGTGTAGGTTCACCTGGAGAATAAAGTTGAGTTTTGCTTTGATGAGGCATGCATTTCTTATTCACCCTTTCCCCACATTTTTCCCCCCAAGCGGACTTCAGGAATTGATCAAATTCTTAGAGTTAATCTTAGTGGAAGGCTTTCCCTCAAGTTGGGAATGGCTGTGAAAGTGGCTACTTAATGAGATTTAAGTCTCTGGAATGGCTTTTGGGCCCAATGAGCATTGCAGAAAGGACCCTTGTGCTGGGAAGAGTAGCTGGAGTTGAACCTAATTGAGTCAGTACTTGAAAAAATGGGAAGGCAATTACTGTGGTTAAGTTCCTGTTTAAAGTTTCTTTATTTAAATTTTTTTCATTATGCATTCATTAGTCTGTATTAATCTATATGATATATTTGATTTGACTTGAAGATGAGAAATGTAAAAGGGAAGCAATACATCTGTGCTTTAAAAGTAGCTGGGGAAAGAATTTTTAAAAATGCCATCCCACTTTGCTACTGATTGTAAGGTTTTCTTGCCTTAAAGAGCCTTTGAAATGCCAAGCATTTATAAATTCATTTCCTCCAAGATATTCTGAATATGGATCATTATATAGTTCACATTTTAAGACCTTATAAACTTTGCATGTTGTTACTGAACTCTACATCTTTCATGTCTTTTTAATTCTTTTATATAATTTCCAATTTTATAAGCAAGATATGTGAAGTATCCTTTGAATTTTTTTCCTTCAGAGGCCTGTTATTTTATTTTTGAGATCTCTTATTTGGAGACTTATGAGAAAGATATTTTGGTGTACTAATTATAGTAGAGCAATGGAAATACTCTATGCACTTCCATAATTCCTTGTTTGCTCATTCATTGAAACAATATTTATTTGGGTGCCATATACAACAGACACTCTCTGGAGTCCTTTGGATAAAAGAAATGGTAGAGACACTTCTTTTCTCAAGAAGCCCTCTGCCTAGTAGCTGAGAGAGGGTCACGCTAAATATATATATATATTTATATATTTAAAAATATATATATTTATATATTTAAAAAATATATATATTTATATATTTTTTTAAAAAAATATATATGATTATGCTTACCCTGAATTGGTTGACTAGATTATACTAATTCTTAGATTAGGATCTCTTCTAAAACTAAGCTTGCAAATATTTCCCCTGATTTTGGGACTATCTATATTTAGTGTACCAAGGTATTTTTTATAATTCTCTGATATGATATTTGGCTTTAATTTGAAGCTTGTGACTTTATTTCTTTCACTTTGGTCAACACCTGGTATTATACAAGCCTAGGACAGACTTTTTAGTTGAAAAAGTTGCTAAATAGTCTTAGTCTAATTTTAAAAACTATCATATTTTTAGCCATTCCAGTGTGATTTCAATGTGTTTTTGATTTTTTAATGATAATATAAAATACAAATTCACAATGGTAGGCAATTTCTATGTTTATTTATACATTACCTTTACGGGTATTAAGTGAGGATCTGGAGTACAAGGGTATGCTACTATTAAAATAACCCGTTTGGGAAATTTAAAGGTTATTGGGATCAACTATTTAAGATACAAACATTTTATTTCAGGTTTCTTATCTTCTTGGGTTATTTCAACTCCATGCAATTTGGTCTGTGAGAGAATTTTTCACTGAAGGCCTTACAAAATAAAACCCATAGACTCTCTGTTCCTCTACATGATAACCAGAAAGAAGATGAGAATTCCTTCGCTGAAATTTACTAATAAAGCATCTTTGGTCAAAACTTCTTCTATAGATTGGAACTATGAGCCAGTTTTTAGAATATCTTTTATTGAAGATATCCTAAGAAATTAAGACTTTACCCTAATATGACTTAGAAATATCTGCTTATGCTGGTTATTCTATTTTATATTTACCATCCAAATTAATGAATGTCTTATCTTTTTGACACTTCATGTATGTAATTGCTTCATTGGTTTAATGTTTCTTTCCATGAATAGCAACACCACATGCAAATGAAAATTTATCTGTTTTGGCATTTAAAATATCACTTCTCATTGCTTATGGCTAGCTTTTAATGCCACTGCTCAAAACTCTGAGCCTTGTTTGAAATGTGTTGGTCATGTGAGGTAAGTATATGTGCATGTGTAGGTAGTAGAAACTAGAAAGTCTCAGTACTACTTTTACAGGAAGAACCCCAGAAATTGAGAATTATAGTATTAAATTGGTCTGCACATTCATGTGGGAGTATCCCACAGTTGTTGCCATTTCTATATAATTTGGCAGTGAAATAGAAAAATTCATTCTGGGAAATTGTTTAATTGAGACTAACAGAGAAAATTCCCTTCAGGATTCTCACAGATGGATGAGGTTTGTCACAGTGAAGATTTCATTATTCACTAACTTAACCACATTGAAAGTGAAGTGTTGGCAGAGCTTTAGTGGAAAAGAAAGAAAGTGAAGAAAGATAGGCTGGGGTTGCCTATTTACCTTTACACCATGAAATGCTTCTCCTTCTGATACAGCATCATTTTCTTCTTAGGAGAAGATCAGATCTTTTAGTGAGTGTCATATGAAATAGAAATTTATACAGAGAGATGTACACAAATAAACATACAGACAGCTATCTACCCAGATACAAAGATGGAGGTACTGGGAAAAACTCTCTGTCTCTGTCTCTCTCTCTCTCACACACATACAAGAGCAAAAGGGAGATGTGGAAAGTAACAGAAATACAGAAAGAGATGCAAAAAGGGAGGGATATCATATTTGAAAGAGGATTGGACACAAAGAAAAAACATCAGTCATTTATTTGTCCATGGATATTACCAATGAACTGAAATCTCAGCCAATTAGACACCCATCAGAGAACTTCTTGATGATGCGGAACAAAAGAGCACAAAGTGTGGTCTATTTGGATGTAGCTTTTAAATGGGAGAACTTCCTAATAAAGTTCCTAACTCTTCAGTTGCAATTCCTCAGATGAACAGTGCTGCATTCCGTGCCCTGTAGGAGCACTAGCTGCTGCTTGCTGTTACTTTACACCTCTTGAGACTGGATTTTTATTTTCCTTGTTTGGTTGACTCAGTCTGATGTGGAGAAGCATTTAAAATTGTTACTAGTGATTCAAAGTCTATAAAACAAAATAATGAAGGGCATTGAGTAGACTGGATACAAACATACTTTATGGCCGAATCCCCAAATGGTACAAGTAGGGAATTCCTCTTTTTGGTTTTAAGATAAAGGACAAGATCAATTTTAGATAAATAAAAGGAATTACAGTAATTCTTATCATGTGATTCTAGTAGTTATGGTCTAAGAAGTGTAAAGGTCAATGTATAGGTATAATAGCAAGGTTTAGATACATTTTTGGCCAGGAGGTTCAAAATAAGTTGCTAGGAATGGAAAGTTTGGGAACTATGTGATGAGTTCATTACATCTGTGAAATATCCCATAGAGGGCCTCAGCCCAAAGTGCTTGTTGACTGAATTGGAGTCTGGCGCATTATTAGGCTATCTTCCCTTATTTAAATTTCAGTTACTGATGCAAGCTATTCATCAGTGTACATTGGGCTGTCGGGAGAAGTAAACCTGTGAGTAGAGGGTAAATACCTGAAAGAAAGCAAGAATATGTAAGAGTTATAGGTGAAATTTTAGATTCAAACAGAACAAAACAACACAAAACATTTCCAAGGCCCTCAACCGGACTATGTCTTTGGGTAGCACATTTTATTTGTATTTTGTTTTTAATTCCTTAACAAATAGGCAGAAATGATTAGTTTCCATGACAGTGGACTAGGTTGCCATTTTGAAATATTATACACACCAAATTTAATATCCTTTTATTATAATTTGATTATTGTTTTTTAATATTTTAAACATTTATGAAAAACTGGAAATGTTTTTCTCTTTAGAGGAAAAAAAAGGACTCAGGAAAACAGAAAACATAGTATTTTTTCAACCACTTACCCTGCAAGAGAAGAAGTTCAATATACTCAATTTTCCATTAGCTTGAGATATTTATGTTGTATAAGCACTTTCTTGACTCAGTCATCTTTTACAGGAAAATTAAAAAAAATTGCTTATAATTAACATTTATAAAGACAGATCTTAAAAAGGAACCTATAGGAGAAGAAATAGAGAACTAGTTATTTAAAAATAAAACAAAAAAGTATAATACCTTTTTAGTAGTATCCGATGTAATAGAAATGGTGAAAATATGATTTTTTTGGTATAAAGTTCTTGATATTTTTTCTTGAAAGATTTTCTTTCACATCTAAGCTGCTATTGAGGAAACAGTGATAGAACCACATAGTGTTTGAAGCCTTGGTTAGCCCAGGTCTTACAATGTATCACTTTTACTTTTAATACATCAAAGATGTTGACATTTTACTGATCACTTCCTAAATTATATTTATAAATAAACCAGCAGACTGTCTCTTGCTCTAGAGCCCACACTGTGTTATGTAATAAATAGCAATGCTTTTTGACCAGAACACTGCTTATCCCAGTTCACCTTTGCCTTCACTAGAAATTGTCCTCTTTGGCTATCTTTTGTATGATTTCAGAAGTAAGGTATGTAAGAACCCCATGTACCCAGCTGCCATCCTTTTAATGCTCTACTGAAAAAGCCATGTAAGACACTGTATTTTTTAATAGAAGAAAGTAGCTATGAATATTTTAATTGTCAGTGACTGAGTAGACTTCCAACAAGAAATCCTTTGGTTCAGTTAATATTTGTGTTATACTTCCATTGT